AGGCAAAAAAGCAAACAGCTAGCCAAGTTAAAACTCTGCCATAATTCTGCAAAACTGGACTGGACACGCGCTGCTGCAAGGTAATATACTGACTGACTGAACACCACCAGGATTCATTCAGTCCAGAGGCATTGTAGTATCATCAAGTATGAATGACAAATCAATCAATCATGCTAGCTTTCAACATGATGATGGATTTACACCAACAGAAATTACACTTATCTGAATCACTGAATAAACTATATATATATGCAGCTCGTCACATGCATGCTTTTTGATGATGGAATAGCAACTGCAGAAACTTGAACTAAATATAAGCACATCATCATTTTGTTCCCTCCCAGTTTGCTTAACCAGACAGAGCAAATTATCAATCACAAGAAACACGCCTAAAGAAATCAATGGAGAAATGCCAGGAAGTAATACAGTAAACTGGGCGCATGCAGGTCCAAACATCATCTGTTATAGTGCTGCAGCAGAAACTGTTCGCAAACAAACAAAAAAGGAAAAAACGAGTCACAGTCCTTTGTGATCGACCCATAGCCACATCAAGATCCTGCCTACTACCTTGCCTTGGAGCAGCAACTGACGGCTTCCATAAAGATCATCAATCAATCACGGGACAACTGAGCTTTTGGCTTCTTGGGCACGGTCCGGTACCCAGCCTTGGTGGGCTTCCCCCAGGGCGACACCGAGGGCCTGCCGCCCTTGGTGCGCCCCTCGCCTCCTCCATGGGGATGGTCCACCGGGTTCATCGCGACACCACGGACGACCGGGCGCCTGCCCAGCCACCGGCTGTGCCCCGCCTTCCTCAGCTTCCGCGCGCCGTGGGTGGGGTTGGAGACGATGCCGATGGTGGCCCGGCAGCGGGAGTCGATCAGCTTCTCGACGCCCGACGGCAGCCGCACAAGGCACTGCGTGGCCGACTCCTTGACCACCTTGGCGTAGGCTCCGGCGGCCCGCACGAGCTTCGCACCCTGGCCATGACGCAGCTCGATGCTGTGCACCCATGTTCCCATGCGGATGTCAGACAACGGCATGCAGTTTCCCACCTTGGAATTGAGGTCCAGTAGGTCGGCAGGCATGAGCGGTGCTGCCATAGGAACCGCCGCATCATTTGCTTGATCATCAGTGCCCTCCTCTTCGCCTTCTTGGCTGGCTTTGCGGAACAGCTCTTGGAACCGCAGGAAGGAATCAGCGTTGTGGGCAGGCCGCATCAAGGAGCCGGTCGTGGAAGGTTTGGAGGAGTCGCTGTTCACCACCATGCTGCCCGGCTCCATTTGATGGCTGGCTATTATGTAATTGACAGGCGCACGCTCGGCCTTGTATGCTGCATCCTTTTGAGGTACCCCTTCGATCCATCGGAGAAGAGCGATCCGAGAAGAACGATTAGGGTCGTACTCAATCCTTTCCACAACGCCAACAGAACAAGTGTTCCTTTTGAGGTCAATGTCCCTAAGCGATCGCTTGGATCCACCCCCTCGGTGAAAAGAAGTGATCCGCCCGGAAGAGTTCCTCCCGGCGGTGAAGGTCTTGCCGGTCAAGGCTTTGGCCAAGGTCTTGAACTTCTGCATCTGCAGGCATAATAAGAATTGCCAAAGAGACCGTAAGCTTCAAGGACTAGAGATAAAACAGCATGTATTAGCAGCAAGTAGACAAGCCTCCATACATCAAGCCCTAAATGATGAATGGACTGGCCAGAAAGAATCAACAGAAAATAGCGACATACATTTCTATCGATCTTAAGACCACAAGTGACGAACACCTAGGTTTACTGATTAAAAAGAAACATCGTGATCATGTTATTCCATCTGGTCCAGAGCAAAAGATGAAGCAGCTTGTGTTTCATAAGAGAAGTCCCAAACTTGTACGTTTCTTATTCAGCAACATTCTTCAGTTTGGCAGCAAAACTCACAAGAGAGAGAAGTTCCAAACTTGTATGTTTCTTATCCAGCAACATTCAGATAATCAGATTGGCAGTAAGATTCACAAGATCGGTTCCAGACTTTTATTTTTCTTATTCAACAGCATTCAGATTGGCAGGAAGAGACGCGCTAGTACAATACAGTTGCCCAATTCACTAGACGAAACAACGTTTAGCTCTCTCCGAATCTGAGTCCAGAGAACTTATCTCAATTCAGTCCCAGCACGGAAGCTGAGGTGCAGCTAAGAACTAAGCAGATCTACAGGAACTGGGTGTCGACTGAAGTAAGACTTAGAAGAAAAGAAACACATTTTACAGGCGGAATTCGGCCTGGGCAGCATCGATTCAAGCACAACGGGTTTGGTGAGGGATCAATAGCTCCAGCGGGTTTCTCCTGAGAAACAAAATCACTCGAGCGACGCTACACCCTGTTTGTCGTGTGAGATAAGCAGCAAAACCAAACACGCGCATCTGGTACACATCCGGCAGCGCACGTAAGCATTTATTAGCAGCAAGTGGATAAGCTTCCATGCATCTATCTAAAGGATGAACGAACTAACCATGAAGAATCAACAGAAAGTAGTGACAAATATTTCTATCGATCTTAAGACCACAGGTGACCAACACCTAGCTTTACTGATGAAAAAGAAACATCGAGACCAAGCCATTCCATCTGATCCAGAGCAAAAGATCAAGCAGCTTAGGTTTGAATCCAAACCAGAACACAAGCTAGTGCTAAATTTGAATATTGCCCACCACTCAGATTGGCGGCGAAATTCATAAGAGAAGTTCAAACTTTTATGTTTCTTATTCAGCAACATTCAGATTGGCAGGAAGAGAAACACTACAATATAGAATTGCCCGGTCCACTAGCAAAAACATTTAACTCCCCTGAATCAGAGTCCAGAGAACTTATAATAATTCAGTTTCAACACAGAAGCTCAAGTACAATTAAGAACTAGGCAGAACTACAGAAATTGGATATATTGGGTGAAGTAATATATTGCAGCGTTTGTATCTTTCTCCAGCCTGACTACCCAGGCGTCTCTACAATCTACTTCCTCCTACCCTGCTTTTCCCTTCTGTTATAGAAAAGTTATACTATTTTGTACTCGGATCGATAAACCTGAAATAAATCATGCATCAGGTCTCCCCCCCGTCCCAAAATCTCCAGGCGACCAGATAATGGGAGCGGGGCCACGGCGCGGAGGGGCTGGAGGGCGTCCGGCGAGCAAGCGACAGAACGGGGGATCGGGGTCGGGGAAGGATCCACGAGCGAGGGCCTGGCTCTACAGGAGCTCCTGCAGCACCATCAAACTGAATGCGGATGGACGGATGGATCGGAGCGGAGAGGGACGGCGTACCTGAGCGACGGGCGACAGCCGGAAGGCGGCGGCGCGGGGAGGAGAGGAGGAAGACGGCGGCGGCGTGGGGAGTGGAAGGAGAGGAGGAGCAAGGGGAAATGGATCTCGCTGTGCTGGGCTGGACTGGACTGGGCCTCGGGTGGTTGTAGCGGCAGGCCCGGTGGCTTGTCCATGTCTATCGTTTTGGCTTTCGCAACCCCATAACTCAAATGTAATCCCACTATCTGTGGTCTTTGATGAATAAAAAGTTGCATTACCCCTCAAAAAAAAACGGCTGCTTTAAAGCAAATCGAAATATTCCTTGAAGTTAAGACTCTTTTTTTTCTATCAACTCAAAAAAAAAATTGGGACTCTTTTTTTCAACAGAAGTAACCACATGTTTATTAAACAAACTTGGTACTACAAATATCGCCAACAAAAAAAAACAATGGTACAGGATTCTCAAAAAAAAAAACTTGGTAATAAGAGGGCACACATGGGCACTCTTACAGACAAACAGTGATACATGATATTTGAAGAAGATTGCACAAAAGACCCCGAACACAAGAAGATGGAGATCCATGCACCCTTCCTGATCGGACTCCATCGCCACCTGGAGTGGCATGACCCGACATCGCCGATTCGAACCCTGACGAGACGAAGAGGCCACATGCTTTGAAGCGCTATAGATTGGAGCTCTTCTACAGGGCCAAATTATTTTGACATGGTGTCGATCCCGCCACCGATGTGACGCCTCCGCGAGTACAAAGGCCCGTGTTATTTACTTGATGTGGCCATTTCCCCTCTCGTCACTCGAGTGACAGACGGAGTGGTCTCTCGTTGCTCGAGATCAGGTTCGTGACTCCATGGACTACAAATGTGCGGTGGCGCAAGGCCCTATTGCCCCTTGGTGGTCATGAGACTCGTAGCTTGGAATTGCTGAGTAATGAGGCAAGGCCTCGAGAATGAAAGAAGGGGAAATAATGGCATTCCTTGCAAGCTCATCCGTTCCTTGCTTGCTCATGGGAGTGATGAGGAACCCCGATGGGGACACGAGGTTGAGACGGCGATCTGGGTGACACATCGGTCATAGGAGCGCCAATTGCAAGATCTAAGGCAAATAAAAAAAATCAAACTTGATATTTGTCATGCTAGCAGGCAAATACTCCCTCTAAATTTATATACAAGGTCACTTCATCTTTCTATCAAATTTTGCATTATAATTTTGGTCAAGGAAATATGGGTTGCATGTCATGTCACAAAAAATATTATCGCAAAGTTTTTCAAATGTGAATCAATGGCATACTTTTTTTTGGCATGTACTATTTTGTTGGTAAAGTTAATGGTCAAAGTTAGACATAAAATTGTGAAGTGGCATTGTATTAGTAGACCGAAGGGAGTAACTTTTTTAAACCATGTACGTTTCGTCCGTTACTGAATCTTAAAAATATGGCTGATCAAATTTGTCTTCTTCAACAATATCACCAATTTACTGACTAAACTAACCTCATACACGAATTTACATCTGCAAAAAACAACATTCACTAACATCTAGGTACAACACTTATCACCTTCTAATTACATGTGGCATCTCGCCGTATACATAAAATTAATGGAGATGGGAAGAAAACAAAGAGCAGCCTGTCTCTGTCTGTCCAACAAAAGGAAAACAGAGAGCAAGCCCAGAAGAGGTGAAGAACGCCACGTCTACGAAGAGACACCAGGGGCTCGCCTCACGCCGGCATCACCCTCACCAGCGCCAGCGGCGTCACCTCGGCGAGAGGCGTGGGCACGGGGCTGGGCAGAGGCGACGTCCGGCACACCGGGCACGTCGGCCGCTGCCGGAGCCAGGGGTCGACGCACCCGCGGTGGAACAGGTGGCCGCAGTCCGGCCGCACCCGGACCACGTCGCTGTCCGCGTACCTCTCCAGGCAGACGGCGCAGCACGCCGGCTGCTGCTCCTCCGTGGCCGGCTTCCTCGCCTCCCCGTAGACCACCGCCGGGTACGCCTCCAGCGTCGCCGCGTCGATACCGCCGATCTCGACATCGCGACGAGGTGGAATCCCGTCGGCATTGATGGCTGCCGCGGCGGCCACGGGCATGGACGAGGCGCGGGCGCAGCAGAGATAGACGGCGAGCGCGATGGTGAGGACGATGAGGAGGATGCCGACGGAGACGGCGAGGCCGTAGCCGAACCCGCCGACGCCGCTCGACCCGAACAGGCCGTGCGAGGCGCCGGGCGGCGCCGGGCTGCCCATCGCTCTTCTCTGGTGAGCTCGAGGACCGGCGCACGCCGGGCAGGGCAGGTAGATGGCGTGGAGACGCAGGGGGCGACGTGGCGGGTTTAGTCAATGTCAGTGTAGCTTGTTTGGTTTGTTTGATGCAAGGGTTCGATTGATCGACGTTGATGTGGATTTGTTTTCTTCTGGAAGTGCATCTTCGTGTAGTCATTTGTTTCTACTACCAGTCAAAATTTGATATTCCAGGATGACATGAGATGTGCGCAACATCTGGATTTCCCCATAGTCATTTGTTTAGTTCTACATATCGCCGGAAATCACTGGTTTTGTTTTGTTGCCTGGCTTTCTTTTATCTTTTATTTTATTTTCTTGCGAAAACCGGCTTTCAAGTACTCCCTCCAACTCCGGTCCTTTTTTTTACTTTGCATATATAAGATTTATGTAAAGTCAAAGTTTGACCAACTTTATAAGAAAAATCAACATTCACAGTATTATCATCAGATGCTTCATGAGTTTATTTTCCATACTTTTAAATAACAGTACTGTAGATGTTGATATTTTTTTCACATAAATATAGTCAAACCGTACAAAGTTTGACTTCACATAATTTTTATGTGCATGGTAGAAAAAGACCTGAGAGGGCACTCCCTAACGTTCTTATATTCTGAGACAGAGGAAGTATGATATTCTTTCCAGTGGATAAAATTTCGTGTGTTTGTTTTGGAAAAAAGGGATCAGCGCCGCTGCCAAAAGGGCATTGTTTCACGTCGTTGGAAGTTTGTCAAACATGCGTGCATGCATGTGAGCAGATGCCATTCTGTGGGCCTCGTGGAGTCAGTGGTGGTAGTACCCAGCGAGTGATGTATCCCGTGACCTGCTAGTACTAGCACGTGTGAAGTGAACGCGCAGGCAGCCAAGAGGCCAAAAGGTCAAGTCCCGTACCTTAATGCCGAGATCAGCTTTCCCTACCCTTTTTTTTGCGGGGGTGCTTTCCCTACCCTGGCCGCCGCCAACAGCCACGCGACTAGGGAGACGATCTCCTTCCACCGATCTTCACCGGCCGGTGCGCTGGCCCCCTCTTCCTTCAGCCGCTGCTCCGGCGGCAGGAGGGAGGAGGGACCCCGTTCCTCCGCTCTGTAGTTAGGTTTTGGTTTTGTAGGTCGTGGTGCGTCGTTGGGGTGGTGGGAGCGGCGCACAGACGAATAAATCTGCCTCAGCTTCACTCCCATACCGGCGGTGTCCTTCACGGCGTCGTCTCGGATTTGATGGCATCGTGTCTCTGCCGATCCTTCAGATTGACAGCGTTAGGGTTCATGGATGGTGTTGGCGAGGCGGCGGCGGCGACTCCATCAGGTGTGTCTCTCCTTCTGCTCTGTCCCCGTTGCTATGGCGTTGTCTCCGACGTCATGGTGGAGCAGGGAGGTTTTGTCATTCAGGAATACACGCAGGCGGTTGTCTACGCAAGTGACAGGTGGAAGATGGAGAATCTTGTGCTGGGTCTGTGGTTGAAGGCTGACAGTTCTGGTTTCCTCCTCCGACGTCGTCGTCATGCGGGGGTGTCAGTTCTGAAGTTCGATGGCGTGTCCGGGGACATGTTGCCCCGGTCTGATTCTTTCAACGGCTATGGTTTTGCTTCTAGCAAACTACTTTGGAGGTCCGCAAAGCTGCTGATCAGCGATGGAGCCGCGTCGAGCTTGGGTGAAGAGGTGATCTATCTTTTTACCCTTTGGTGACCGCTTCGGTGGTGTCGAAGGAGAGGGACAGATGTTGGTATTTTGTATAGGATTTTCCTATCTTTTCAGTCTTGTATGGTCGGTGCTTACGTGCCTTGTAACTTGATCTTTATTCTATATAAATGGGACACGTATTACCATGCAAAAAAAAAAAGCCAAGAGGCCAAAAAGACCTCTCCTTTTTTTGCCAGAAATAAGACAGCACCGTCCGAAGAAACGCCATCTCGAACTCATTCTCTGCGGTAGCAGGACGTTAAAAAGAAATTAAGAAAAGGAAAAATAAAACAGTTTGTAGCAGGACGCTAGCCAGCATGACTGCGAGCACGCAGGGAGCGTCAGCGGTTTCTCGGCACACTTGAATGAATTTCTGTTCAGTAGTGTGCATACTGCCGATAGCAGCCGTGCACCCTGAAAAACCACGACGGTGCCTAGTACTGCACCAGTCTCTTTGTTTCGTACTAGTACTCCCTCCGTTCTGGAATATAGTGCTTCCTCTGTTCCCGTGTTTCAATTTTGTCTAAATTTAACCAACAAAACTGACTGCGACGCGTTGAAGTTGCTCTTGTTAGTTCAAATAGGAAGTAGAAAAAGGAGTAGAGATGGCAGGGGTAAGGGAAAGCATATATGCTGGATCCATGTCGACCACACAAGTGCACACGGCTAGAGAAGAGACGACACGAGGCTGGCGACCCCATGAAGGCCATGGTAAACGGAGACGAGGTGACCTCCCTCACGCTCACGACTCACGAGGGGTAAAAGGTGAACCCGCTTCCCGCCACACGGAACAGCCAGCGGCCCAGCCGAGCTGACCAAGTGCAGTGCAGATGTGCAGTCTGAGCCCTGCAGTTTGTTTCACGAAATTCGTTCGAGCTTTTTTCGTTGCGTTGCATTGCATGCATGGGCTGAAATCATTTTAGACTGACTCCCCTGCTCACATAATCGTTTTCGACTCTCCTCTCCTGCGTGTAGACCAATAGACCAACGTACGTAGCCCGGCTCCGGCTGTACCGCATGAATGCCCTGCGACTATGGCATGGCATGGCACGTCCACCATCTGCCAATGTCCATTTCGTGCCGACATTTATTTCTTTTCTTTTCAACTGGAATTGCCAATTGATAGTACGCCGGTTTTATATTTTTTTACGGAGGGAGTACGTGCTAGGGAACATGCAAGAATGGCTTTAGCCCACACAGAAGAATGCGATAGTCGCGGCTGCATGATGCGCATGTGAAAGAGTGCAGCGTACTTATCTCTACTACTATTAAACAAGCAAGCATATTCTTTCTTAAACGCACACGGAAACACGTACACAAAACAACCATGATAAAATACCACCTCACGATCAGATCCACCTAATTAGATCTAGCCGTTAATATAAAAATTAACCCTCATTTGTGTATGTTTAGCAATTAACAGAAGCGGACGATGCTCTGCCATCTATCGAGCGAGGGGACGAAACGTTCCGCTGCGCGAGGAAAAACAAACTAGTTGATTTTCTTTGAAATGAGTTTTTTTGAAGGACCTACCATATATTTGTTGCAAAATTGGACCTAATCAATTTTATAAAATACTAGACCATATTTAATGCACAATTGACAAAATGGTTGGGTGTCAAAAGTTTTGATCCACCTCTGGTGAAAAAGACAATTCCTGCCGATTCAACAGGAAGCGGGTCAAATTTGAACTGCAGCTGCCTAATAGTTTGCTATTTATTTTTTCCAAAAATTATTTCTAGTTATATAAGTACCGATTTAATCATAAATACATAGTTTGATGGTGATACGTCGAGGTTTGGATGGTGGACGAGGGCCCCAACTCTAGAGCGCGTAAACCCGCATGCCCGCCGCGTGGTCACCGCGTGACCGTGGCGTTGCCATGTGTTCTGGGCGGCCTAAGCATGTCTAGTGGGTTGGGTACTCCCCAGGTAGGTGCTAGGAAGAAAATCCTAACATAAGATTCTCATGAGGAGACCGATCGATGCTCAAACATGAATAAGCAGCCAAGTGTTTGATTAGCGGTACGGAAAATGCACATGGCTAATGAGTGTGAGTTTTGGCTGAGGATGACCAGTTACTAAAAAGACCATCTTCACAAATTTTCAGCTCAAAAGGAGGAGCCTAGGTGGTACTTGCTTTGCAAAGTACAACACTGGACATAAATACGAATGTTGAAGCTGAGCTCAAAATAATGAATGGATTGAGTTGACATTTGGTGAAGGATGTTTATTTGGGCATAGGAAAACACTGTAGAAAATGGATACCATTTGGACATGCCAAAGTGGTACTTCCTTCACAAAGTGTTTTTCTGAACAGAATAGGAAAATGAATTATTTTTGAACTAGGCAAGGAAGGTTTTTTTACATATTTGACGAAGATATGACCCAAAGAATTTATGAGATTTTTTGGGGAATTTTGGGAATGACAGAAATATAGGTTGCTTCACAACCTAGGTCAAAAATTGCCACATGGACATGACACATAGGCAAAACTGATAAGGTGGCGCCTAGTCATAGCAACCCACCACAATTTACAAGGTTATGACCATCTATATTGGTTGTGATCAGCTAGAAATAAGGCAGCGGACCAGTGCTATCTGCTTTATGACCATTTCGTGTAAGGAAATTATGACCTTTTGACCAAAATGATCGTTATAGTTCAGGGTTTGGAGCCTCCCGAACAGCTTTTGACCAATTGGTCTGAAATGGTCATAGATCTATGACCAATTCTTCCAGGGTCACTGACAGAAGGTCACTAGTTGACATATTTCTTGTAGTGATGAGGGGGGGGGGTCGATATACCCCCTCCCCGATAACTTCGACATGAGGGGGGTGGGGGTCGCGATATACCCCCTCCCCGATAACTTCGACATGAGGGGTGGGGGGGTGGGGGTTCATATGATGTTTTTTTGTGCATACAATGTTTTTTTTCATATGATGTTTTTTTTTCATATGTGTATTAATTTTTTTATTTAGGTTGTTAATTAGTAGATATCGATTTTAGGTTAGTGTAGAGGAAAAAGTAAAATAAGGAAAATGAAGAAAAGAGGAAGAAGAGAAAAAGAAGGAGTGGAAAAAGGAAAATAAGAAGAGAAAAAAAGAAAAAAAGAGGAGAAGAAGAAAGGAATAGAAGAGAAGAAGAAAAAAATAGAGTAATTTCTATTTTTTTCTTCTTCACCTCTATTCCTTTCTTCTTCTCCTCTTTTTTTTCTTTTTTTTCTTCGATCTTCTCCTCTATTCCTTTCTTCTTCTCCTCTTTTTCTTCGACTTCGTCCTCTTCTTATTTTTA